CACCGCAACAGCCCTGCTGCGACAGAGTCCAACAGAGAGGCAGGAGCTGCGGGACAGTAGCCTCGAAGCAGGGTTGGGTTGTAATGGAATACATGTAACGGCGTTACGTAATCAGAATACAAAAATCAAGTAGGCTAACTGTATTCAGCTGGCGTTACATTTGAAAAACGAGTAATCTGATTACAGTTACTTTCGTAAACCTGAAGTGAATACATTTTGGAATACTTATTGGAATTATTGGTGGAAAAATTTCCTCACAAAATGTAATCTTCATTACCGGCAGAACTGTGTGCACACTGCACGGCGCTGCAGCATGTCTGTGAGCGAGAGAGAGATGCAGAGTGTCTGTGAGGCCCCGCCCCCGCACGCAGATGAGAGAGAGAGATCTCTTTTAAAATATATTGAAAGTTAGAAACGGAGATGGTTAGATAAAATGTGCAAGATAACCTTTATGTAGAATTTATTTATTGTCGAAATGATGACATTTCATAACGGGATGAAATCAAAGTGAATGGCCTGCTGCTGCTGAATGCCTGGGGCAAGTGACTGGAAAAAGTTTTAAAAGTTATAACATCGTTTCAGATAATAAATAATAATGATAATTCATTCTATTTAGGGGCGCCTTTCAAAGCACCCAAGGACACCTTACAATTCATAACATATTCTAAGGAAAGGTTTTAAGACAGTACAAAGAATGCAGTCCGGGTGATGTTTTTTATGTGTGGTGCAGATGAGAGGGTGCTGTCCAGAATGACACCAAGATATTGTGTTTGAGTTCTTGATAAGCCATTCTCCTGTTCACCAAAACATACCCATCTGTTATGGAAAAAGAAAGTATTCCAAAAGTATTCTAAAAGTAATCTGAATACGTTAAAGTAGACCCGATTCCAACGTTTAAGACACGTAACTGTAACTGTATTCTGATTACTTTCAGAGCCATGTATTCAGTATTTAGTAACTGATTACAGAACACTCAATACCCCCCCCCGGTCTACAACTTCAAAATTCTGGACTATATAAAAATCGCTGGCTAGTGTCTATTGGATACATTTTGGCCCTTGGACAAATGTAGTTGGTGATCCCTGGTTTATACTATCATGTTTAATCATGTTTTATGCCGTTTGCTAAGACTTGATAAGTCGCTCATAAAACACAGGAGGTATGGAAACTAAGAACACCTGCCGAGAAACTGCCGAGGGAGTTTACAGCGATTCTTGTGGTGGCTGTTTACCTCCCGCCTAACCCCAGTAGCGAGGGTAAAGAGGAGGCACTCGGTGAACTGTACAGAGCCATCAGTGAGCAACAGACAGCACACCCAGACGGCCTTCTCATCGTAGCTGGAGACTTCAACCACTTAAAACTTAAAAACTGTGCTGCCTAAAATATATCAGCATGTTGATTTTCCCACCAGGGGAAAAAACAAATTAGACCTGGTCTATACCAACATCAAAGGTTCTTACAAGGCATCCCCCCTCCCCCACATCGGCCTTTCTGATCACCTCACTGTTCTGTTGGAACCAGCTTACAGACCCAGGGTAAAAACCACCAAACCGATTTCAAAACAGGTACGGGTGTGGTCAGTGGACAGCACAGCTGCAACAGAGACTGCTTTGACACTACAGACTAGGTCTTAAAGTTCAAGCAGGCAGCCACATACAACCATCACACCAACATACAAGAATACACAGAGACAGTCATGGGCTACATCACCAAATGCATTGATGATGTGACACAAAACGGAACCATCACCATCCGGGCCAACCAGAAGCCATGGCTGACAGGGGAGGTCCTCACGCTGGTGAAGGTCCGCAACATCGCCTTCAAAGCCTTCAGAGCTGGAGATCCAGCTGGGCTGAAAGCAGCCAGGGCTGACCTGACCCGTGGCATTAGGAAAGCAAAACAAAAATTCACCCGAAAAATTACAGGACATTTCAAGGATAGCAGGGACTCACGGAGCCTGTGGCAGGGCATAAGGTTTGTAAACCACCGCCACAGACCTGTGACAGTAATATCTCCCTGCTCAACAACCTCAACGGCTTCTTTGCACGCTTTGAAGCACAGAACAACACACCTGTGCAGAAAACCACCCCCCCCACCGACGACCAGGCTTTGCGTCTTTCACCAGCCAGTGTGAGGAGCACACTGTTGAGGATTAACCCCCGTAAGGCTGCAGGACCTGACAACATTCCTGGTCGTGTGCTGAAGGACTGCACGGAAGAGCTCACAGATGTCCTCACAGACATTTTTAACATCTCCCTGAGCCAGGCTGTTGTTCCCTCGTGCTTCAAGGAAACCACCATCATTCCAGTGCCAAAGTAGTCATCTCCATCCGGCTTCAACGACTACCGCCCCATCGCACAAACTTCCACCATCATAAAGTGCTTCGAAAGGCTGGTCATGAAGCAGATCAAATCCACCCTCCCCCCATCGCTGGACCCGTTTCAGTTTGCCTACCGAGCTAAACGGTCCACAGAGGATGCAATCTCCTTCGCTCTCCACCCAGCCCTCACAAACCTGGACACTAAGACTGACACTAAGACAATGGACCCATATGTCAGAATGCTATTCATAGACTTCAGCTCAGCATTCAACACCATCGTCCGCCAGCAGCTTGTAAAAAAACTTACAGACCTGGGCCTCAGCCCCTCTCTCTGTAACTGGTTGCTGGACTTCCTAACAGAGAGACCACAAGCTGTACGGGTCAACAATAACACCTCAAACACCCTCATACTGAGTACGAGGGCCCCCTAAGGATGTGTGCTCATCCCCCTTCTCTTCACTCTGCTGACCCACGACTGCAAACCCATCTTCAGCACCAACCACATTGTGAAGTTTGCAGATGACACTACTGTGGTGGGTCTCATCAGCAACAACGATGAGACTAACTACAGGAAGGAAGTGAACCAGCTGGCCCTGTGGTGCCAAAATAACAACCTCTTCCTCAACCTGGAGAAAACAAAGGAGATAGTTGTTGACTTCAGGAGAACCCACCGTCGACCCCCTCTCCCCCTGACCATCAATGGTGCTGCTGTGACGCACCAAATTCCTTGGGGTGACCATCACTGATGACCTCACCTGGAAAATCAACACCACCGCACTAGCGAGGAAAGCCCAGCAGCGCCTGTACTTCATCCGGAAGCTCAAGCGAGCCGGAGCATCACCCCCCATCTTGCTGTCCTTTTATCGAGGCGCCACCGAGAGCATCCTCAGCAGCTGTATCACGCTGTGGTTTGGAAGCTGCACCGCCGCCGACCGCAAGAGCCTGCAGCGCATAGTGAACTCTGCCCAGAGGATCATCGGTGCCTCGCTCCCCTCACTACAGGACATATACAACACCCGCAAAGCACTCAGCATTGTGGGTGACTCCACCCACCCCTCCAACAGCCTATTCAGCCTCCTGCCTTCAGGAAGAAGGTTCCGCAGCCTCAGCTCGGGCACCGACAGGCTGGGGAACAGCTTCCTCCACCAGGCTTTCAGGATGCTGAACTCTCTCCCCTCCCTACCACCCTCTCTCCCCCCCTCTGACATCTCTCCCCTGACCTCTCCACCCTGCCTCCGACCTTTCTCCCTTGCCCCAAATGGTCCTGGACTCTAACCCCCCCACACACATACACACACACACACACACACACACACACACACACACACACACACACACACACACACACACACACACACACACACACACACACACACACACACAACCGACCTTCCTCATCCAGCACCAGTCACTTTTCTGCCATCTCCGCTGAACACTTTAACATATTATTAACATTTTAAACTGTATACCCCGGTTATCTAGGCCCTTTTTTGTTGTTGTTTGATGTATATATGTCACACTGTAGGACCTCGAGAAACGATATTTCGAGATTTCTGGATGTACAACATGTAGAATTCTTGACAATAAAGCTGACTTTGACTTTGATATATTTGGTAGATTTGGCAGCTGATATAACACAACACATATGTTTTATTTCATTTAACTGGTGGATAGAGTTGCTGCTGGAGGGGGGGTTGAGAGGCACAGGCTGCAGTGGAGATGCTGCGCACAGCTGATTGACAGCTGGAAAACAAACTACCAAATAAAAAAACAAAGCATGAATTGACTCCACTCCGCAGGGATCCCCCGATACTTTCTTACAGTTTCTCATCATAGGGGGGTCTCCTGTCCCCGGCACAAACACACTGCCTGAGGAAGGTTATGTGTATTTTGTCATTAACTTTTTTCGGACCACTTATTTATTTATTTAGGTGATGATCCGACCTCCATGCTGCTACTCTGGTTCAAACTGCATCCACCAGACAATATGATTTATCTTCCCAAAATAACCAAAATCTGACACGGTGTGAAATGTTTTTATTAGCTGTTCTGTCATCATTTCCTGCGATCTTCTTCATGCAGTCAGTCTGAATGAATATTAATACGGGGCGTTTCTTTGACTATTTATAGGTTACGTGAAGCCCGCAAAAGCTGCGCTGCATTTCAAGTTGATTGTGATTTATAAAGGGAAACCGGCGTAGGACGTGCCGCACGCCGGTACACAGTGTTTTATAAATCGGAAAATGTCTGCGTATTTATTTGCTTTGTCCTACGTAAGCAACCTTCCCACGTGAATCCTTCGCAAGGCTTTATAAATGACGCCCCTGGTCTGATATTAAGAGAAAGGTTTCTTATCGCATTCAAATAAAATTCCATCTTATCTTATCTTTCCCAATTGTCAAGTTTTTTCATATTAGTTTCATATTGTATTTGTATGGACTGTGGTGTGGAAGAGGGCTGTTAATGACACCAAAACATGTCGCCATATGTTATTTTTTAGTTGGCATAGGCAATTTGAAGTGCTTTTAATCATATGGAAATCACTGATTTGTATAACTTGCATCCACATTTCACGGTATTCTGTGTTTTTAGTTTGAAATTCCTGGGAAAATTCTGTTGTTCACTCACTTCAATTTCTGGATATCCTTTGACTAAAGTTATTTTTTACCTTTCCTCACAGTGACTATTTATTTAAGCTGCTCCTGATTGGTGACTCTGGTGTTGGAAAGTCTTGCCTTCTTCTTCGATTTGCAGTAAGTTTCACCAAAATGCCACAAACTGTTTTTTGTTTTTAAAAAAAAAAATGCATTTTCCATTTCCAGTCTTACAGTATTTTAAAATATGCATTTACTATATGCTACTGTTGAAAGCTGTTTTCAGTTAGACAACAATATATAAAAAGAGGACATTGTGCAGAATTCTGGAGGCTGTAATGTTATATTCATAACTATGTTTTCATCTTTGTATAATTACCTGAAACTGGTCTTGTCATATCTTCATATATAAATGTACATAAGGATGGGGGCCTTTCCAGTTCTCCATGGTTCACTGCCATGTTTCTTTATAGAGGGGTCTTTTGTGTTTTACATTACCTTAAGGCCACCATAGTTGTGACAGGCTTGTAAAACTTGGATAACTGAATCTGTTGCAACTGTAACTCCAGTTGTCTCCCAGTCCTACACACTGTCCCTTTAACTGTGATTCTCATTAACGTAATAAGAGTAATTGATATGATGATTACATGTGCAAAATAAAACATAAACTTGCCCTTTAGTAGTATGTCCACTGTGTATCCTGCTGCTCTTTCACTTTATCCACACCTTGGCCACTTATTTAAAAAATATTATTATTATTAAAAAATAAAACTGTTACTTTCAAGACCTCCTCACCCTGGTTCACACCCGCACTGCGTAAAATGAAGCAGCGAGGCCGCCAACGTGAACGTCTTTCAAAGAAATCATCCCTCACAGTCCATTACATAAGCTACAAACTCCATCTCAATGCATACAAAGATGCTCTTATTGCCGCTAAATCTGCCTACCTCTCCAACATCTTCACTGACCCCTCCCGTAACCCCAGGACCCTCTTCTCCACAGTTAACAAGCTCTTCAAACCCTGTGCTGATAACCTCCCTACTTCTACTTCCGCTACTTGCAGCTCATTCCTCCAGTTTTTCGCAGACAAAATTAACGCCATTAAGCACTCCTTCTCAGCTCCATCTGATATACAAGCATCTCCCCCAACCTCCACCACTACCATTTCTCCCCCCATCTTCCTTGACCTCCTGACTCCTCCTCCCCAGTGCCGCGTCTCCCAGTTCAACCTGGTTACCCCACTTGAAATACTCCATCTGATCGGTTCCTCAAATCCCACAACCTGCTCCCTTGACCCTCTACCCACTCCTCTCCTGAAGTCCTGCCTCCCCGTCCTCTGCCCCTATCTTGCTAACCTTTTCAACTCCTCGCTGTCCCATGGAACCGTCCCCTCTGCCTTCAAAACTGCTGCCGTTACTCCAATCCTTTAAAAACCTGGTCTTGATCCCTCCTCCCTCACTAATTACCGCCCCATCTCCAACCTACCATTCCTCTCAAAAACTCTTGAACGCATTGTAGCCAAACAAATTCACTGCCATCTCCAAACCAACCAGCTTTATGAACCCCTTCAGTCTGGATTCCGTCCTCACCACAGTACAGAAACTGCACTCGTCAAAGTCCTCAATGACCTCCTCACCTCTGCTGACACTGGTTACCTCAATATTCTCATCCTCCTCGACCTGAGTGCAGCCTTCGATACCATGAGCCACAACATCCTGCTCACCCGACTCAGGGACATTGGTATTGAAGGTATTGCACTCAGATGGCTCCAGTCCTACCTCACTGAACAATCCCACTTCATCTCCCTCCCAAACCACTCCTCTGCCACAGCTTCAGTCACCCAAGGCGTTCCTCAAGGATCAGTACTTGGCCCCCTCCTCTTCATCATTTACATCCTCCCCCTCAGTCAGATACTCCGCCAATTCAACCTCGACTTCCACTGCTATGCTGATGACACTCAGATCTACCTCAGCACCAAATCCCTCCATAACCCACCCCTTACCCACATCGATTCCTGTCTGACAGCTATTAAAACTTGGATGCAACATAACCTCCTCAAACTGAACAGCAACAAAACAGAACTCCTCCTAATCGGCTCCAAATCCACCCTCAGCAAGGTCACTAACATAACACTCACCATCGATGGCACCATTGTTTCCCCCCTCCAATCAGGCACGCAACCTTGGCGTAATCTTTGACCCCACCCTCTCCCTCGAACCTCACATCCGCCAAACAGTCAAAACCTCATTTTTCCACCTCCGTAATATTGCAAAAATCCTACCCTCTCTCACCCGCCCCGCAGCCGAACGACTAATCCATGCCTTCATTTCCTCCCGCCTCGACTACTGCAACTCACTTCTTTACGGCATCAGCACTACATCCCTCAACAGACTCCAACGGGTTCAAAAGGATGCTACACGTCTCCTCACGCATACCAAATCATGGCGTCACATCACCCCAGTCCTCAAAGACCTCCACTGGCTTCCTGTTTCCCATCGCATCAACTACAAAGTTCTGGTCCTCACCTACAAAGCACTCCACCATCTTGCCCCCCCTTATCTCACAAACCTTCTCACTCCTTATCAACCCCCACGGTCCCTCAGATCCACCGCAGCGGGACTCCTATCCATTCCCACATCCACACTCTGCAGCTTTGGGGACAGAGCCTTCTCAGTGGCAGCTCCTAGGCTCTGGAATTCCCTCCCCCAAGATCTCCGTGACTCTGAGTCCCTCACAGTCTTTCAGTCCCCCCTCAAAACACATCTTTTCTACTCTGTCTACCCATAAGCCCCCCCCCCCCCTCTCAATCAACTTCCTCTTGACTGCCTTTTTATTTTTTACTTATTTGTTTGCCTGTCCTTGTTTGTCTACCCTCCCTCATACTGTAAAGCGTCTTTGAGTTGTGAAAAGCGCTATATAAATAAAATGCATTATTATTATTATTATTATTATTATTTGAGTGTGCGTGTATGTGTTGGGGCGGCACCATATCAGAAAAAATTCAATATGCAATAACATTGTTGAATATTGCTATGACGATATCACTTGCAATATTTAAACAAACACTTAAATATATATTGTTTCTGCTTTGGGTTCACATATATATAAATGGACGTAGTGTCCGTGACGTCAGTCAGAGTTGCTGAGAAGTCCTTAGTAGGCGTAGTCGGCCGCTGCCGTCTCGACAGTGACGTCAGTTTAACTCCAGCACGCTCCAGCCTGATCCAAATAAGGGCAAGTCCGATATTTAAATGAAGAATACTCCACCAGGCACCAACACAACAAACACGTCCGAGTTCAAGTTGTGTTCCCCGGATCAGCCTCGCATCTGAGCCCCTGTTGCATCCTGGAGCTAACAGAGCTAACGGAGCTAGCAGAGGGACAGAAAGCTAGAAACAGCAGTCACCGTAGAGACCTGTCCATCAAAGTGACCACGCCCTAATTTATGCAACAACTTTAAGACCTAATATAACTAAAAGGGGTGCGTTATAAAAAATGCACTCCCCAATTCATTGTCATGAAGGTGGAATCTAACTATATCCAGAATAATTTGTATTGCATCCAGGGGTAGAAACATGTTTATTTCTGCTGTAAAGTTGGGCATTTTAGCATGGGGGTCTATGGAAATTGCTCCTTTCTGCAGCCTGCTTCTACCGGCCAATAGATGAATTGCAGTTTGTGGCACTTCCTTATGGGCTTCCCGGCTCTGCCCCAGAGTTTTCCGCTTGGTTCACACAAATCACGTAGTGATAAGCCTATGCAAAAAAAAAAGAAATTAATTATTTACATTCCAACAACATGATTTTATTGTTTATTACTTTATGATCACTAAGACAAAATGACAACCATTTCTGGTACTATAAACAAAAAGATACATACTTCCTGGATTATTGAAATACATCTATAAATATATCTGAAAACAAGAGAAATTATTTCATTTTAAACAAATGTGACTGAAAGTTGTTGGGGGCAGGGTTGGGCTGGCCAGCTGTTCTAAATATTCACAAAATAGTCGGCATGCATTAATTTATCATCATGTTATTTAAGTTGCACACTCACAGAGGACGAAAGCGCTAAAAACATGTAGTTCTTATTTGCCAGGTATATCCGATAATATCATGATTTAGGATTCAGCATTGTCACACGTCTGCTGCTCGCTGTGTTACCTTGTGTGGTGCTGCCTGAGCAAACCGGAACCTCAATCTTTTTTTTTTTTTAGGAAAAACAATATTTGCAGTTCACCTAAGGGGCCATACAGACAGGTTTTTGTACTTGCTCAAGTCCACTGTTGTCATTGTACACGCACAAATTGTTCAGATCATAACCAGGGTGACCGGACGTCTCCTTCATCAGAAAATATCCGAGCATCTGTGGCCTGTACTACGAAGCAGGATTTGCGGTTAGAGAGGTAACTTCAGGGTTAACTCTGGGTTAGAGAGGTAACTTCAGGGTTAACTCTGGCTTTCCGGTCCTATGACGCTGGTTCACTTCTTACCGGGGTAGAGCTCCATGGTAACTTATGCTGAACACCTAACCTGCTCCGGAGCAGGTTATAAGAGATCAACTCAGTGAAAGCACCTCCTGCTGACCAATCAGAGCTCAGTGTGGGGAGTTTAAAGCTATCGAGTCATATTACAGGATAAAATAAATATAGCTGCTGTATGCAGGAAAAAGGTCCGGCAAAAATCACAGACTGTGCACATGAAAATTAATAGAATATCACCTCCCATCTTCAGAGCAATCTGACTATTGTTACATTAGCGTTAAGAAAGCTTACTTATGTTACCGGATCAAACTAACATTACGTAAATGTTTTACCAGCTGTTCTTCCTGTACCTTGCAGGTGCAATTATGTTGCTTTTATCCTGGATTAAGTGTTTAAGTCATGGATGTTTACCTTCTTCATATTTGTCTAACATCATAGTTTACTTTTCATTCATGAAGTATGACGCTGCGCTGTCAGTACACTTCTCCATGTTTGTGATTGGTCAAATGTTGCTAACCCTGCCCCTTTCACGTGAACGCGCTCTCAGCCAGACAGAGAAACCCTGGGTTGATTTACCGAGTTGATAACCAGCGTCGTAGGATCGCTTAGCGAGATCTCGTTTGTTAGGGTTAGGTAAGCCAGATAACTCAAAGATATCCAGGGTCTGTTGAACTGGCTTTGTCGTACAGGCCACTGATGTGTGTAGAGTTAGGGATGGTTATACTGTGGCAGCACCTGTAGTTTTGAACAGATATAATGAAGGTAAACAGTGGCCGACTGCACGCTGCCACTGCAAGTCTCGGATCATGCAGGCAGGTTTACGTGTTCTGTCTGCTGCCGTCTGGTGTTACCGCAGCATCAGGACAAAAACCACAAGACTGAGGGACAGTTTCATCCCACACCTGAGCTTGCAATTTTTATATTTTTATTTGGTGATATTTATTAATATAAATAACACCAAATAAAAATATAAAAAGTGCAATATTAATAAATAACACCAAAGGAACCTTCTATCTAAGTTTTTCATACATGACCTAACTACACCATAGTTGTGTATATGTTATGACAACACACCTTTGCATCTTGACATCTAGAGCAGGAGGCCTTCATCTGATTTGCCACGTATTTTAACATGCAGAGCATGAATACATAGCACATGAAATAGGCTATCATTGATCGCAGTTCCAGCAACCTTTGTGTATACTGCAAATGTTGATATTGCAAAAACAATAGATTTTCTTTATATTGTGCAGCCCGTGTGTGTGTGCGTGCACCATCTAACTCTGACTGTTTCTCTCTGCAGGATGACACATACACAGAGAGTTACATTAGCACTATTGGTGTGGACTTCAAAATACGAACCATAGAACTAGATGGAAAGACCATTAAACTTCAGATTGTAAGTATCCTGCTGATCTCTCTTCTCTTTGTTCTTCCATGAGTCGCTCAGAGATAAGAATCATTATTAGGACATGGGCATTAGATTACATGTGTCAAACTCAAGGCCCGGGGGCCTAATCAGGCCCTTGGTTGATTTAATTTTGGCCCGCAGGATAATTTTGAGTTACTATTAGATCTTGCCCACCGGTATATTGCACGCACACCTTCACTCAATCCTGAGGATTTCCTCGACTCAGAGCCTGAGCCCAAACATTGATGAACTTGCACCCAAGATGAGATGCCAAGTATCTGGCTTGAACTAGCATCACAGAGCAGCAAACTGAGTTTAAATGGATGTTTCCCAATGCACTTTTTTTCCTGCAAGAACAGGGCTGCTTTGTTTTTTCTTTGAGGGAAATAGTGTTTTTGAAGCTGTTGTTGCCCTGTGGAAAAATTAATAATCATAAGAAAGGACTCCGGAAAAGCTGCAGATAGAGCCATAAGAAATGAATGCAACTGATTATTTAATGTTTAATGTTGTTTTTATAGGCAATCATTTAAGCGTTGTTAGTTCCAGGTTTAATATGTGCAATAAGTTCATTTCAATAAGTTTTGCAATAAACATTGAACCAGTCCGGCCCTCGACTAGTACCCATTTTTGAATTTTGGCCCACTGTGTATTTTAGTTTGACACCCCTGCATTAGATGATCCACATCAAGTGTTCTAGTGAGTATTTGGCACCAGCACAGTATGTATGTGCAGGAGTTTTTGTAGCAATGCATTTAAAGAGTGAATACATGAGATGAACTATGAATGCTACGTTGAGTTGCTATATACAGATGTAGCGCTTCATTTCAGACGCCTACCCGTGCGGGTCCGTGATCGGCACTGGGTGGGCCCCTGCTGAAAAGGAAAACCCCCCCGCAGGATTTGAAACGCCCCCTTGATAAATACATTTAATTATAATGAAACCAGCTGCAATGGATAATGGATCCACCAGGGGGAGCCGTGATTAAAAAGCTGCCACACTGGAACTCATGTGAAATAAACAGCTGATCTACAGGTATCTGATATAGCGGATATTTGTTAAGATCCAAATGTCACGGATAGGATCATATTCTGTGCTAAATAAGAGACATGTAATCATTTACTAAACATCTCCATGTTTTTATTTAACAAAATAATGTTTAATTCACGTTGGCGTAAGTACAAAACCATCGCTATGTTTTTAGATCAGGAAATGCATCCAGGCTCAAACAAACGATTTTCAATCATCCTCCTCACGATCATTTAATGTATCATATGTTCGCGAGTTGAAATTAATGCACTAATACATGTAGTTTAATCCACGTGAGTTTACAACAACACAAATAATCGCTTTGTTTTTATATCACATCCGACCGGAGGAAAATGCAGCACGGCTCTCACTACCGATCATCCTAATCCCACGGGCAAACAATAATATGTACAGTGTTAATAGTTTACTGTATTATTAGTGTCTAATATTACTGGGGATTTCGGAATGGTAGCCTACTGGATTTTGATTTATTGTATCGGCTTCATATCGCAATATATTCCCGAAGTCTGAAATGCAAAAATCTCCCACATTAGGGCAATTCACCCTACATTTAATCATTCATACAAAATCATATTTCGTTTATTTTTAACGAAATAAATGTGGTTTAATCCACATCATTTACTGTGTTAATTGTTTACTGTAGTATTGTGCACATTACTTTTCGCTGCTTGTTGCACCCCTGGTTAGAAGCTAAACTGCATTTCGTTGTCTCAGTACCTGCAATATGTGCAATAACAATAAAGTTGAATCTAATCTTGAGCAGGAACAAATGTATTTAGGCTACTTAGTACATATCTGACATAAACGATTAAACACATTTGTGCATTCTTTAAACCGAGTCAAGCCGAGTCCGGAGGTGGCGGCACATTAAAGTGTGCACCTGATTGTTTAACTTGAAGGTGCCTGATGACATTTAATCATTCAAACAAAATCATATGTCGTTAATTTTTAACGAAATAAATGTGGTTTAATCCACATAATTTACTGTGTTAATTGTTTACTGTGGTATTGTTTAACTTGAAGGTGCCTGATGTGAACATTTCCAGAAGAACTCTAGCTTGAATGGCCTTTGTATGTATACAGTAGGCCTACAGTATAGCCCAACCATGTACACCTTCCTTTTTTCCCGTCCAAAGTTTGAATTGGATAAAGGTAATGGTTATCGATGGTGCTTTTATAGCCTATTGTATAATAACTGTGTGATTTATATTGCTTTTCAAATGCATATGGCCACCCATTTACACTGCTCTTCCCGTCAAGAATATGAATAGAACTTAGTTAGATCACTTTACATTTCTGCAAATGAATTTTTAATCACACACGTCTCCCCGTCCCGAAAATGATAAATAAAAAGAGGAAACAATTTTCAAGTTCAGTTTTCAACGTTTTATTTAAAATAACTGACATAACAGACACCATACTGTAGGCCTATCTGCTGCGGAAACCAGGACGAGCTATTTCGGGATCTGTTTTTCGGGGGCTCCTCAGTCTCTCATTTACCCGGCTCCTGATCTTTTGCCACTGGTCAATGTTCAGATTTGGGAACCAATTGGAAACATAGGACTCAATCTTTTTCAACCTCTTGACGGGAAAAAAGGGAGGTGTAAATGGTTGAATGATGAATAAACAGTGAGGAGGGGTACAGTATGAATACACTAGATATACACAGCAGCCCAGCCTGTGAGCAGTATGAACACCAATGAGCGCTCAGCTCGAGATACCAGCGAGTCGAGAGAGAGAATGATATCTGCATTTTCTCTTTTGGTTTGATTAGGACACATCCTGGGGATTGTGTTTACAAACATTGACCAGACCGTTCACCAGCCCCCACCCCCCATGTTGCCTATGCTGTCCTGTGCTGCGAACTCTTTGTTTAAAACGAATTGGCCATCGGAATGTGTAGAGGAATTCTCCCAAGGGTCACATTCCACAGCTCTCCCCCCCCCCCCCCCCCCACTCCTGTGATCTCCCAACCCCCAGTCTGTAGGTTTGTGTTTGCATATTTATATCCCGTAATTCATACTGGTCCTCTCACGCACATACATTCTCCTTACAGTATACATACATAGGCTATATGAGTCCGTGTATCTACGGACCATTTGTTTTTCTTTATTAAAAAAGTAAACGGAAGAGCGTCTGAGAGGCGTTGTTGCCTATGAGGGGCCGTGTAGGCCAAAATTCAAACTCACCTCACACACACACTACTGAAAACATCTGGCCTTGCACACACACTACTGAAATACTCTCACATTCACTACTGAACACCTCACACACACACTACTGAAAATTAAGCCTCACACACACACAATTGAAATCCTCTCACATTCACTACTGAACACCTCACACACACTACTGAAAATTAAGCCTCACACACACACTACTGAAAACATCTGGCCTTGCACACACACTACTGAAATCCTCTCACATTCACTACTGAACACCTCACACACACACTACTGAAAACATCTGGCCTTGCACACACACTACTGAAATCCTCTCACATTCACTACTGAACACCTCACACACACACACTACTGAAAATTAAGCCTCACACACACACTACTGAAATCCTCTCACATTCACTACTGAACACCTCACACACACACTCCTGAAAAGCATTTTACTGAAAGGTTCTCAGTAGGGAATGTGCATGTGTTTCACCTATGTGTGTGTGAGGGGATTCTTGATGTAACGGAAGTCATTCTAATGTAACGGAAGTCATTCTAATGTAACGGAAGTCATCTGCTAGTGGTCTCTTTGCTAGCCCCGTTAGCTTCATTAGCTCCAGGCTGCTACTCGGACGTGTTTGTTGTGTTGATGCCTGGAGGAGTATTCTTCATTGAAATATCGCACTTATCTTATGGCTCTGCAGTTCAAACAGACCGTCTATGAATGCAGTTTATTCGGTAAGTGAAATTCAAGCACTTTATTTCTTACTTGTCTTTTTATTCAGCTAACAAGCGAGACGAAGCTACATCTGTGCTAACGATGCTATCCGTAGCATACAAGTTAAAACATAATAGAGAAGTGTAAAACATTAAGAAGGATTATACTGTAAAACATAAGGCTTCTCGGTGAGGTTGGTAAAATAAGGTCATGCTTGTACATTAGTTAGTTTGCTAGTTAGGTAACTGTATGCATTGTTATTGTTAATTTAAAATAGCTATGCTCGACGATGCAGACAGCTAGCGTCACATTAGTGTTGAAGAGCAGAGTATGAGATTAACCTCACTATAAGATCTGTGTATCTGAACAATATGAATCTCACATTTCCAGTTGGTTCCAGAAATAACGTTGACGTAGATATTGCAATATGGTTTGTTGAGCTGGAGTTGATTGTTGAAGCTTACTGGTTAACGTTCATCATATTAAACGAACGAACCCAAACGTTGTTGTTTTTATTAATATTATTACCAATACTTACTTAGCATTTTATTATCATTACACTGGAGAAACCGACTTATTGTGGCAGCAGAACGTGAACATGTAACTTAATGCCTGCATTTGAGGACGAAAAATAGCTCAGTCAATGCTTTAGGGACAAGGAAATGATTTGTTTAAATATTAGATATGACGTTATGTGTGCTTCTGTGACAATGAAGCTTATTCATTGCATTACATTTGTTGAAGATGTTTGTCTTTTACCCTTACGTGTGTGTTACAAATGAATGTGAATATGGCATAGTACAAATATTTAAATTGACTGTCTCATGAAAAACGATTCTAAAATAAAAAGGACCCCAAAGTGAGTCAACAAAACTTTCAATAATAATCTAAGGTATTGAGTTTTGGGATGTTACTTGCATACAAATCTATAAATGCCTTAAGGTTTCTAAAACATACAATATGTGGTAAATTCAACAGTGGACCCAGCAAAGATTCACATTTTTGCATGATTTGTTGCTGTTACTTAATTTTAATAAATTCAAGTCAAGCTTAG